CTCCTTTGAGAGCTGCATGTCCACCCCGATATGGAAGGCGTGGCACTCGGGTAGCCCATTGGGGAGCAGCCAGAGATGGGAACACTTCTCCGTTCGCGCCCAGATTGTGGGGCTGTTTCGAGCGAGGCGCTCGGTCTGCACCTCCGACTCTTGTTTTTGGTTTCTGTGAGCTTCATGACCACCTTGGTACTGCAGGCGTGGCATTTGGACTCACACATGAGGAGCCGCCAAGGAAGGGAACACTTCCCCGTTCGCGCCCAGATTGCGGGGTTGCCTCGAGCGGTTCGTTCTTTTGGCGTCCCAGCCTTTTCTGCAGTGAGAGCCGCATGATCACCGCGATGTAGCAAGCGTAGCATTTGGGCGCTCCAAGGAGGAGCCGGCAGGGAGAGGGGGAGACTTTGCCGTTCGCGCCCAGATTGTGGACATGTTTCGAGCGAAACATTCAGTAGAGCCCCAAGGTCACCGCGAGGCAGCAGGTTTGGCATAGCCCGGGGAGGAGCCGCCGATGGTCAGAGCCGCTTGGCGGCCGTCCAGCGCAATCTCCCGTAACCTCCCCGTCCTCCTTTTTGACGTTGGGCCCCCTCCTCGTCCTCTCCCTCGCCTCCGAGAATCCTTCTCTCAGAAGCCTCAGGACATTTCTGGGAAGCCAGCCCTGTTTTTGCAGAAGCCCCCCACCCACCCCGCCTCGCCCCGCACCCGACCAAAATCCGTTCTCAGACTGTTCCCAGGGCCCGCCCCGAAGTCCATCCCGGCCAGAATCCGGAGTCGCGCCCAGCCGCGGTGGCGAGAGCCCCCAGGAGTGCCCCAGCGGCGACGCCGCCGTCGACGACAAAGCCGTCGCCCGGCGCCTCCCCAGAGCTTCCCGCCCGCGCGCGCCCGCGCTCACGCCGCGAGCTGCTCGAGCGTGGCGAGCGCACCCGCGCCTGACCGTTTGTCAGGCTTCGGAGCCCCGCGCGGGCTCTTTAGAACACCAGGGCGGCCGGGCTGGGGCGGCTCCCCGGATCTCCGACGAGGGGTCGTTTCAGCTGGCATTTTTCCTTCTCGCTTTCGGCGCTCGGGGGCCGCGTTCGGGCCCCGAGACAATCAAAAATGAGTCTGGGACGAAAAGCCACCCCCGGGGGCAGCGGTCGGGGCTTCTGGGGCCGCAGATGGAAAAATCGTTTCGGCGGAGGTCAGGGGAGGGGTGGCCTTGCCGCACGGCAGCAGGGGTCAGCGCTGATGGGGGTCGGCCAATCCCTCCGAGATCCTCTGGCTGACCCCTGTTTTGAGAGTCGCGCGGAGCTGGCTGGGCTCCCCCTCCCCGCCCTCCACCGACCCGGGGTTGGGACCCAGACATGCTCGCGTCTTGAATGAAGCGTTGGTGTTTGGCAGTTTTCCACCTCGGGGGGCCCTCGCAGGGCTCCGTGTCTGTAAGACATCGGTTCAGGAGGAAAAGCTGGCCGGGAAGGGGCATGAAATTCTGGGGGGCCCGCATTGAAAAATCAGGACATCGGTTTGGAATATTGCGAAGACCCTACGGCCGGTGCCGCCGACCCTGAATGGCGACGACGACGACGACGACGACGACGACGACGACGACGACGACGACGACGAGCGCTCTCGGGGGCCTCTTGGGGGTAGTTTGGGGGCCTCTTGGGCAGCTCTTGGGGGCCACTTGGAAGCCTCGTGGGGGCCTCTTGGGGCTTCCTGGGGGTCTCTTGGGGGCTTCTTGGGGCTTCTTGGGGGGCTTCTTAGGGACCTCTGGGGGCTTCCTGAGAGCTTCTCAGGCCGAGGGCCCGAGGGCTCGAAATGTCCGTTCGGGTCCCCGTCTGGGCTCCTCCTTAGAGCCGTCTTGGGAGCCTCTTCGGCTGTCTTGGAGGCCTCTTGGTCGGTCTTGGGGCCCTCTTGGGTCGTTTTGGGGCTCTCTTGAAGGCCTCTTGGGCCATCTTGGGGGGTCTTGGGGGCTCCTTGGCCTTTTTGGAGCGTCGGGAAGCTGACAAGGCGAGAATGCCGAAATCTTTCAAAAGATCATGGGAAATCTATGATTTTTGCCCCTTGGGACCCTCTTGGAAGTCCTCTTGGAAGCCTCTTGGGGCGTTTTGGAAACCGGTTGAGCCGTCTGGAGGCTACTTTGGCGACTTGGACCGATACTGCGGCGATTCGGGGCCCTCGAGGACAGTCTTGGGGGCATCTTGGGGCAGTTTTGCCGCGTCCTGCGGCTTTTCTTGGCCGCCCAACTTCCCGATGGGGAGTCGTATTTGCCCCGGGACCCCTCCCCCGGGACCCCCCCGGGACCCGCCCCGGACCTCACCCCCGGGCCCCCCCCCCCTGGCGGGGAAGGGATCAAAAGGAAGGGGCTTCCCTTCTACTCACAACGTTGCTCAATTTCGTTATGGCTGGCGCGCTCGAGGAGGAGAACCCGGTGAAAGGGGGAACCGCGACGGGCCTAGGGAAAAGGAGGGAAGCGAGCGACGAAGGCGACGACGACGACGACGACGACGACGACGACGAGTCAAACGGAACAGCCTCTTCCACACGCCGACAGGGTCGGCGGATTTCGCGTTGGCCCCCGGTCCAGGATCGCGGATCGGCGTTTGGGGACCCCTCACATGGGCCTCAGGAGGTCTCAGGAGACCTCAGATCTGCGGCGGGCGAAAGGGCCGAAATAGAAACGGAACGACCGGGGACCCAGATCTCCGACAATACGATGTGTTCCATCGCGGCGGCGTTTTTTCTCGATTTCGGCCTCCAGGGGTCTTTCTCGGGCCCCAGGAGAAAACTGGCCCTGTGGAAAGGGCTCGGGGGCCTCGGATTGAAAAAACATGCCGGAGGAGGTCACGGTGGCGAGGACCGACAGCAGGCTTTGTCCATGTCGAGCAGCTGTCGCAGTGCGTGTCGCCGCCGCAGGCGTCGTCCGCTCCGCAGCGGCCGCACTCGGTTTGGGACGAGAGCTGCTCTTCGGGGTTGTCCTACAGGCCTCGGAAACACACAGCGAACACTCGTGCCACATTCATCTGTCAACGCCTCCCCCTCCCCCCAATGTTCAAAGTTGGCGGTGGGTCTGATGAGCTGCACCTCGACCGCAGTCTCCCCCGCGCGTGCCAGCTTTGAGTTTGGGGGAGCGGGGGAGTGTTCAGTAACTGCATCTCTCTACCGTACTGTCCCATGTCTGTCCCGCGAGCCTGGCCCTGGCCTCCGCGCTGCGGCCTCGTGGACCTCCGCCTCACTGGTGCAGGCCCCGCACGTCGTCGTGCGCTCCCGGCACCCGCGATCCAGGACTGCACGTTCCGAGTGCGGCCCCGCTCCCCGCGAGCCGCCCTCCTTCTCCTCTCCTCTCTCCTCTCCTCTCTCCTCTCCTCTCTCCTCCTCTCGCTTCCTCTCTTCCTCCTCCTCCTCCATATCCCTCCACCTCCTCCTCCTCCTCCTCCTTCTCCTCCTCATCCCTCCTCCTCCTCCTCCCCCTCCTCCTCCTCCTCCTCCTCCATTTCTTTTCCTTATAGTTTCTCCATGTCGCACCCTGAGGCCAGTCTTTAGGGCGGGCCAGGCGTTTCGCTTCAGACTTCCTGATCACTTCTGATTCTGAAGCTTAAAAAATTGGCAACAGTTTCACAGATGGAGGGCGGGTCGTTTTCAAAATGTGGCTCTCGCCTTGGCGCCGCGCACTTTCGTTTTAACCATTTGCATAATCTTCACGGATTGAGGGCGGGTCGTTTTCAAAATGTGGTTCTCGTCTTAGCGCCCCACAAATTCGTTTACAACATTTGCGAGAGCTTCACGGATTGAGGGCGAGTGGTTTACAACATGTTGTTCTCGTTTTAGCGGCGCGCACATTCGTTTTAAACATTTGTAAGAGTTTCACGGATTCAGGGCGGCTCTTTTTAAAAATGTGGTTCTCGAATTAGTGCCGCGCGCATTCGTTTACAACATTTGCAAGTTGTTCAAGGGTTCCCATCATCAACGTACCAGAAATTGTGTTTTGGAAGGATTCAGGGTCATGCAGGTGCAACGGTTACATTGAGTCTCTGTGCTGAAGGCCTAGGAGTGGCGTTATGGCATGATTCAGGATCGTCAAGACGCAACCGTAAGATTGATCCGTGGCGCTGGAATCCCGACAATGGTTTGGCACGCTTCAGGGTCTTCAAAACGGGTGTCTTCCAACGAGGCAGTTCCATCAATGGAAATGAACCGTTGTAGGGGCCTATGAAGAGGGAGCTTGGAGGGAGGGTTGATTCCAACATCGTTGATGTCTCTTGGGCTTACACTGGTCCTCCTCCTCCTCCTCCTCTTCCTCCGCCTCCCTCTCCCTCCTCAGTCTCCTCCTCCTCCTCCTCTGTCACATTCGCCTGCCGCGTGTCCCACGCCATGGCTTGAACCCTTCTCGGAGACGAGTCGTCACCGACCAAAAATGCGTGTTGTCTCATTTTTCCCGGCGCCCAATACAGAGGGGTCGGGATACCATCCAAAAAGTGGGTACCAGAGTCGTGCCGTTTGTGTGTTGGCGTAGTTGTCACGGTAGCGTTTTGGTTGTTGTCGTTCAGTTGTTGGGTGGTGTTGCGTGCCGAGGTGTTGGCAGCACATGTGCACGCAAGCGTATTAGTGCAATCGGTGTTCAAATGAGGGAGTGGTATAGATGTGGATCCATCTATACATGTATATATGTATCCAGTGCCTTTCCTTGTCAGTTGTTTGCTGCTCGCGTGTTCCATATCACCATCAAGGGTCCGCCATTGGCTCTTACCTGACAGCGCAGCGTCTGAATATCGATCTATGCATTCATATACGTGTGTATGCGTATGCAGCGGAATAATCATAGTTGTAAGGTGTAACATCATCAATTGTATGTTCCGGATTCCCTTACTTCAAGCTGCAATATCTTGCCCCTACCGATCCCTTCACCGTACTCGTCCGCCCAAAGCTGTAGCGAAAGGCGCTGGGAGAGGGAGAACGATCAGCATGCTGAAGCCTGTCATATCTCCTTAGGGGCATGTTCGCAAGCGGTGTAGCGCGGGAAGGTTGACGACATGGCTCCCATGGAGTCCCCGAAGAGCAAGGTCTCCGAAGAAGAGATTGCTTTGCAGGTGGGACGGGATCCTCCTCCGTCCCTCCTCCCGCTCCCATCCCTCCTCCTCCACATCCGCCCCTAATCACCACCAACGTTCGGCCCAGCGAGCTGCAAGCGAGGGGGTGGCATGGTCTGCAGGTCCAGGACTTCTTGACCACCTGGGAATTCAACATCATGAGCTCCCCTGCTGGCAAGTCGTTCAAGCACGACCAGGCGCGTTACTGGGTTGCCCCCGGGGGGGAGGAGAAGGAGGAGGAGGAGGACGACGACCAGAGTAACCTGCCCACAAGTCCCTACAAGCCCTCCTTTCCACTTCAAGGAGCGCCCCTTGGAAAGACCAGCACCTCATGGGCCTGCCATTCAGGCGGGAGCCCCGCTTTGGAAGGGAACGAACTGCCGAATATCCTTCCAGCGAGTCATCGGGAGCGCATAAGGCCATGACCACGCAGTTCCAGAGGTGTCCAGCGAGACCCCCGTTTTGAAAAGGGACCGCCCCCGCGTGACATTCTTGCACAGGTTGACACTTATGGCCGTGAGGGCCCACGAAGTCTCAAGCGAAAACCCATTTTGAGAAGGAGCCGCCCGCCGTGTGTCCAGCTGTTGCGTCTGTTCATGCTTCTGGCCCTGAAGAGGTCTTAAGCGAACGCCCAAGGTTGAAGAGGAGCCGTTCTTCATCCGTGCAGCTGCTGCAGGTGTTCAAGCTTCGGGCCTTTTACATTCAGTGGAGCCTGAACCGAAACGCACCACTTTGAAAAGTAGCAGCCCACAATGCTTGGAACTGCTGCCGCAAGCTTTTAAGATACGTTGAGGCAATTCTGCGCGGAGCCAAGGCGAGAAGCCCATGCTGAAAAGGAACCGCCCACATCAGTGAAAGTGGCGTGCAATTTTGCGACGAACCTACGCAATGCTAAGGTGAGGGCCACACTATTAAATGATCTGCTCACCAACCTTCGAAACTGCTGCAAGAGTTAAAGTCGAATGTGCGCGGCGCTGAAGCGATAGCTCCATGTGAGAGTTCCCCCTCCATCCTTGACAATGTCGCAAACGTTTAAGATGAATTTGCGCGGCGCTAAAGCGAGAGCAACTTTAAAGAAATGAGCCGCCTTCCACCCGCGAAAGTGCTGCACAAGTTTGAGAACAATGCGCGCGGCGCCAAGGCGAGGTCTCCATTTTGAGAACGGCACCCCTTATTCATTGAAATGGTTGCACAGTTCAAGCTTCAGGATCATAGACGGTGACGTATCCCCGCCGACACGTCTGGGGGTGCGACAGGGAGGAGGAGGGAGAGGGAGAGGGAGAGAGAGAAGAGGAGGAGCAGGGCGAGGAACTGCCCGAGGGTGGAGCTTTGGGACCAGCTCCCAGCGATCGCGGTGGTCGGCCTTCCTTGCTCTCGCGCCCTCCGCACCCATACCCGACTCCCTGTGCTCATGCACCTGTCCCTGCTCTACCGTGGTCTGCCCTCCCGCGCAGTACTTGTTTTGTGCTCGTGGTGCACAGGTGGAGGCCCCCCCACTCCCCCTCCCTGCCCTGACCTTCCCCAGCCCTGCCAGGTGATGTCTTCCGCGCTCGAGTTGCTGGCGCTGAACGGGGTTCCTGCCGGGATGGGGGAGGGAGGGCTGTCGGTCGCCGAGGCCGCGGCCGGGCAGAGCGGGAACAGTCATTTCCACATCCTTATCGTCCCGTCCGCATTCCTCTTCGTCCTCTACCCCATTATCCTCGACCTCCTCTTCCTCGTACTCATTCCTCCCTCCGTCCTCCTTCCTCCCTCCCTCCGTCATCATCCCTCCCTCGGCGCTGACACACGTTCTGAGGATGATCGACATTAGGGTGGCAAAGCGACTGCAGGGGGCAGCTCAACCGCGCGCGCACCCGCACGGTACCTTCCCCAGTCGCCGACCCCCCCCGGGATCTGGGCATCGCAGACACATGATCGCGAAAAGGAGTCTCGACGTCCGGTTGTCCAGAGCGTTCGGTTCTTCAAGGCCGCATCTCGGCCCCAGGGACCGCCAGAAGACAACTCCGGATGAAAGGTCAGGCCAGCCTTGCGTCGGGGCCCCCAAACGGTGTGGTGACCACACCGCCTGGTGAGTCAGTGGGGACTCGGGGTCACCACGCGGTTTGGGGACTCGAGTCGTTGTCCGAGGAGGATGCCTCGGGCGACTGGGGCCTCTTGAGGTCCCAAAGCCGTGCGGTGACGGACCGCGTGGTGAGACCGTCGGGGACCCTCACGACACGTTCCTGGGGTCCCGAGTGGTGGGGAGGGGGCCGAGACCCCCCTGGTGGGCGGGGCCCCCGTCACACGGAGAAGGCATGCCCGGTGCGGCGTCGGAGGCCTCTCCCCGCCGGCCGCCGCCGCCGCCTGTGCCCCTCCTCGGGGCACTGCAGGGGTTTCTGTGGTGTCCCGCTCGCTGCTGGTGGCCCTCCCGGGGGCGCCCTCGCCGCCGCGGCCAGGCTGTCTCCCTGGATCGGCCACGCGCAGAAGAAGGGGTCAGGGGGCGGGGGGGAGGCGTGTCAGAAGCACCCCTGCTTCTCAGAAGGCGCGAGCCTTATCTCTAGGTGCAGGGCCAGCACCCTCTAGGAAGCAGCCTGCTTCTACGAAGCCATCCACCTCTCCCGCTACCCATTTGTTCGCGCCGCCAACTGGAGGCTCTGACCACACGTCCCTGGACGGGTCCTGGGGCCGACTTTGAAGGGGGGAGGGGGAGGAGGTCTTAGATGATGTTACACATGCTGGGGGGCGTTTGTTCCCGTTTTGGAGATCGACGGTTTTTCCGTTTGGGGGTCCGTTTCGTTCTTCTGGTTTGGGTTTCTCGTTCGCGCCGTTTTCGGTTCGGTTATGGTTTCTATTGCCGTCGCGTTCTTATGTTGGATTGCCGTGTGTTTATTCTTATCTGGTTGGTCGAATACCGACAAGTTTGAGAAATGAAACAAAACACGTTATTCACATAAACTACGGTCTTGGGGCCGATTTTGAGGGTGGCGGTCGTCAGCGGCCTGGGCAGCGACGCGGAGGGCATCGGTGTCGTGGCCCCGGCGGGGGGGGGGAGGAGGAGGAGGAGGAGGAGGAGGAGGAGGAGGAGGAGGAGGAGGAGGAGGAGGAGAGGGGAGGGGAAGAAAGAGGGAGGAGGAGGAGGAGGAGGGGGAGATGGAGAAGAAGAAGGAGGAGAAGCGGCATGAGGAGGAGGAGGAGGGTCATGAGGGGGGGGAGGGAGGAGGAGGAGGAGGAGGAGGAGGAGGAGGAGGAGGGAGGAGGAGGAGGAGGAGGAGGGTGGAGGAGGAGGGGGAGGGGGAGGGGGAGGAGGAGGAGGAGGAGGCTGGAGCTTGACCCCTTCAGGCGCGTCAAATAGCGGAAAAAATAACGGGAGGAGGAGGAGGACCAGTACAAATTCAAGATTCACCAACGATATTTGAGTAAACCTTCCCTCCAAGTTCCCTCTTCACAGGCCCCATACAAGGGTTCATTTTCAATGAGGGAAGTGCCACGTTTTTTTTTTAAAAAAAAAAAAACTCATTTAAACATCTAGAATTGTACGACACCATCCCAAAAACACCATTCTGGGACGTCAGCCATGAGAAAATTTGAAACATCTGGGAACTCTTGGGACGAATGTGCGCGGGCGAAAGACACATGTTGAAAAGGTACCGCCTTCCGTTCGTAAAACTGCTGCAAATGTTTAAACCGAATGCGCGCGCCGCTAGGGCGAGAGCCCTGTTTTGAAAACGACTCGCCCTACATCCATGAAGCTCTGTCCAAGTTTCCGCATGAATGTGCGCGGCGCTAAGGCGAGAACCAAATGGTGAAAGCGACCCGCCCTCCATTCGTGAAACTCTTCCGAACTTTCACTGCGATTTTGAGTGGCGCCCAAACGAGAGCCACGTGTTGAAAGCCACCCGCCCTCCATCCGTGAAACGATGGCGAACTTTTGAAACGAATGTGCGCGGCGCTACGGCGAGAGCCACATTTTGAAAGCGACCCGCTCTCCATCCGTGAAGCCGTTGCAAATTCGAAGCTTCAGGGTCATAGATGGTGAGGAAGTCTCAGGGGAAACGCCCAGGCCGCCCTTTTCGACCGTACCACGGGGGTGCGACAGGGAGGAGTTTCATTAGGAAAAAGAATGGAGGGGCATGACGAGGAGGAGAAGGAGGAGGAGAAGGAGGAGGAGGAAAGGCATGAGGAGGAGGACGGAGGAGGAGGAGGAGGAGGAGGAGGGGGGCATTAGGAGGAGGAGGAGGAGGAAGAGGAGGAGGAGGAGGAGGAGGAGGAGGAGTCACACGTTGTTGTGTGACTGTGGGTTGGTATACACAAAAAAACGTGTGGTGTTCCATATCAGCGTGTCGAGAGGTTCGGGCGCCCTCGTCACGAGACATCGCGACGTGGTATGTCGGAATGTTGTCTGTCCCTTCCTTGCCTCCAGGGTCTCGAAACAGCGGGAGCAAGATGGAGCGGTTGGAGCTCAGGGAGAGCGGTGCCTGTCGGGTCAGCATAGCTTGTCGCCTGGGTCACGCGCGAGGAGGCAGTCGAGGGAGGATCCTCAGGACAATCAGCAGACGATGAGAGGAAGAGAAGGATGAAGTCGGCAGCGAGCCTGGTGGGGACGTGAGAGGGGGCAGGTCTCCTCAGAAGGCGGCGAGGCTTCTCAGAAGCCCTCGCGCCTTCTGAGAAGCTGCCTATGCCTTCTCCGGAAACTGAGGCGACTCCTCAGAAGGCCGGGTGGGTTCTGAGAAGTCCCGCCGCTTTTTCGAGAAGTCTTGCCCCCTCTCACTTCCCCCCTGGATCGCCGCCGAGGAAGGGCGGGAAGGTTCCTCTGGACAAGGAGGAGATAGGCCTCATGGTCAACATGCACGAGAGCACACTCATCCCTCTGCTGGCGGACAAGATACCCGTTGAGGAAAGTCTCTGTTGCTCTGCCCTTCCATTGTATCAGGGCGCTTGTCGTCTCCCTCCTGATACCAGCGCAGAACATCTAGGGCAACCAAGGTGTCGACAGTGATTCACTTTGCCACGCAAGCCAGTGAGTCAATAGAATTGTTTTGACTAAGGAAAAAGTGACCTGCAACAAACCGTTCCAAACGTCATAGCTGAGGTGATCGGGAGTTGAGTAACTACTCAGCTGAATTCACTCGGCGTTAGTACGTCGATTCGCATGCGATTGAAAAGTAGGCCAACTTGTGGGTCAACGAACCGCATCGCCACGGTGGTATCTTGCGCAAGGTTGGGGAAGCAAGAGTTGCATCGAAGGTATTCGCGATCGTTTAGGCGTTACCTCAGATGGTATTGCAGGTTGCATCGTTATCGATGTGCGTCTCTCTCTCTCTCTGTCGATCGATATGTCTGTCTCTCGCTTTCCCTCTCTCTCTCTCTTTCTCCCTCTCTGTCTCTGTTTCTCTCTCACTCTCTCTCTCTCTCGTCTCTCTCTCTCTCTCTCTTTCTCCAAAAGTTCCGCTTCGTGTTTTGTCACACGAGGGGCGGGCGGTACCCCCAACTCCCCCCCAAAAAAATCTGATCGCCCCCAAAAAAGAAACAGGACCCTTGGAATCTGGGGCTTTGGGGCCCCCTGGACGCCCTTGGAAGAGGTCCCCCAGCCCTGCCGCGCCTCCTGGGGCCCTTTGCCGGGCCTCTCCCAGAAGACCCACATCGATCGTGGTCGAAGAGGCGCAGGAGAGCCTCTTCAGGAGGGACCCCAAGAGGCAGAAATCTTCCCCGTGGGAAAACGTACGTATATTCTAGTTATATGTTTTGTCGTAGCAGCGTTCGCGACGACCCAAGCGGCCTCCGAGATCGTCCCGAGAAGACCCAAAGAGGCCCCCAAGAGGTCTTTACGATAGCCCCAATATTGCCCCAAGACGGCCACAGAAAAGTTCTGAGGCCCCAAAAGGATCCAAAGAGTTACCCACGAGGGCCATGGGAGGTTACCAGGAAGGCCCATGATGGCCCCAAGAAGGCCCGTAGAGAATCAAAATTCCCCAAGAAGGCCCCAGCACAGCTTATGAGGGACCCAAGACGGCCCAAACGCGTTTCAAAAGGACCCCCAAGACGGCCCAGAGTGGCGCCCAGGAGGCCGCCAGAGATCGCCAAAGCCCTTGAGAGGCATTCGTGAGGTCCCCAAGAGGTTATCCAACGAGGATCCTCCGCAAGAAGACTTGCGGCAGACAGGGAATTTGTTCGCAATGCCAGGCGAGAAGTTGAGGTTCGAGGGAACGATGAGCGATTTCCCGTAGGCTCCCCAGACGGTACTTGCACTAGGGTTCCTTGCTTCGGCGGTCAGAATTTGAGTGGGTCGGCCGAGGTTTCGTCACCGAAGAGCTTTCACCACATAGCTTACACCGCATGGTTGCCACAACATAACACCACATAGTTTATGCCGCAGAACTTTCACCGCCGGAGTTCAACACTTCACTCTTGCGGGTCTACGATGGCTCATATATGTGTTGGTGTATGCCATTGGGAGTCGCTGGAAGCTGCCATGCTTTGGGTACGTGTGCAATCTTCGGAGGTCAGCGCAGCCACATGTACATGTATAGATATACATATATACGTACGCATGTAATTATCTATATGTGGATCGTTTCCTCTCTCGTTCTATGTCTTTGTCCTCCCCTCAGACTCTTCATTCTCGGTTGTTTAGTTCACTGTACGTGACTTGAATATCAATGCATGGCGATTGGTCCTGTTTCATTTGTGGCGGCGAGTTGGGGAGACGGCGCCAAAAGAATACGTAAACAGATGTTCCGTTTACAGAGCTACGCTTGCAAGGTTGCGGCACTCTCTCACGCCGATCTCGTCGTAGGCGTGGCAAAAAGGCAGGGCATCAGAGAGCGAATTGTTAGAAACGCTAGTCTGCTCGGTTCTCGCGATGTACTTCCCCCGCCTCGATCAGCTCCGCGACAATTTCGAGCTGCTCACCCAGCAGCTATTCCTTATGCTGAACAGTGCGTTCAATGTCCGGAGGCTTATTTTTCTATCGTTGAAGCAGGTCGCAGAAGGAGAAAGATCACGGCAATAGGGAGGGCGAAGATCGGGAGTAGGGAGGATAATGAGGAGCACAATGATTATGTAGGTGATGATGACGATGATGACGATGATGGTAATGATGATGATGTTGATGATGATGATGATGACGATGATGATGATGATGATGATGATGATGATGATGATGATGATGATGATGATGATGACGAGGAAATACGGGGAAGGACAAGGAAGACGGGTGATGGTCAGAGTCAGGGTGGCAAGTATAATGGTGACGTCGACAGGCACGCGTGGAGCCGCAACCGCCCCGACGTCAAGCACGCAGTGACCGTGCGAAGCCAATTTTGCGACGAGAGGCGGGGACAGGGAGGTGACGGTCGCGCCCGACCGCGAGGACGTCGTCCCCGGGCGCCGCAGGCCGCAGACCCATCGATCCGATGGGAAACAAACTCAGGGGCGGCTCGCTGACGTGGCAGCCGCGAGGTCGGGTCGCCGTCGGCGTGCCCCTCTCCAGGAGATGGTGGTTCTTGGGGCAGCTGGCGAGCGAGGCACAGGATTTTTCGTCGGCGGCGAGGCAGAGGCAGTCCGCTCCAGCATGTGGCTATTCGGGGCAACCGAAAGGCGACTTGTCCGGCGCGAGCGAGGCACGGGAGAAGGCTTCAACACGGTCCAGCAGTGACGTGAGATGCACAGAACAGGGATTGGCTTGGGCGTGAGAAGAGAAGGCGGTCTCTCCTGCGACTCGCTAAGCGGAGCGTCGTCGCCACCGTGCTCTTCGGGCCGCTCCGCCGCTCCTGCGTGCCCGCCAACCGAATCAGGCGAGCGAGGGGGAAGAGGCGGGGGGCGACCGCCGTACAAGCCGCGCCAGTCAGGTTGTCGAGCTCTGTGATCCGCGCGCTTTCGCACGCCCGAGCATGGCCCGTTGGGGGCCGCCGCGGCAGGAAAGGGCGAGACCGCATGCGGCAGCTGCAGATCCCAGGGCGTGTCTGCATGACTCGCCGCGTCCACACGGCCCGCACCAACATTGAAGTCGGACATGTCGCTCTACAGGAGGAATGCTCAAGAATAGTCAAAACATAGTCTGGCGACGATGCTCTTTTGACTATTTGTTATGTTAGCTTGAATATTTCATATGTTTCTTCAAAAAAAACGCCTGCAGGAGGACATGCCCGACCTAAACCAACATGCTCGCCAGCAGTGCGCCGGAGCAGCAGTGTTCTGCCTCCGCCTCCGCCCCAGTGACCCTCAGGGGATTCGGGGGCGGCAGCGCCGAGGGACTATCCGTGCAGGATCCCGCGGCAAGGCATCGCAAGAGAAAGGCGCCGACAACCAGCTCTTGCCGCCGCGCATGGCGCACCGAGGCTCGCTGTAAACGCTGACGGCGCCGGAAGCAAGAAGCCACCCTCTCAAATCGGCACAGGCCATTCGTCAGACGGGCTCGTGCCTTGGCACGGACGACGGACAGCGCAGGCCATGGCCAGTTGCCCGTGGACACACCAGCAGCGCACGCGGAGCTCTGGGGTAGTGTGGGTTCCACGGCGCCTCGTTTAAGAGTTATCAGATGGCCCCCAGGCCTAGCAGATAGTCCCAGTGCTTGAGGTGTGCAACCGCTGGCGTTTGAGATCCAGAGCCGCAGACTTGCAATCGTCAATTGGGTTCACGGGGCCCGCTCACTCAGGGCCCGCGATCAGAAGGTTTTCTGCTCCAAGTCGCAGAGAGGAGCGACGATGACAAGGAGCATGACCGCGATAACGCTGCCGCGCTCCAGGTGAAGTCGTCGAAATACCACTGTCTCGCCTCGAGGTCCCTCCAGTCCCCTGACGGCGCAGGGCCCCCCCACAGTCCCCCCCCCCCGCACGGTGTGGGCTGTCGGCCCCCGAGCGAGACCGACCCGGCCCGCGCCACAGCTCGTCATCTTCGGGCCTGGGCGGCTGGAACCCCAGCCCGAGGCTGCTGCACGACCAGCAGGCCGAGAGCGAGACGACGCACTGTGCAGGCCAAGGATGAGGATGATGTCGCTCCACGCCCTGGAGCGCTCTGGGACATCGTCCACACCCGCGACACGAGCTTGCCACACCCGAGCCCGATCCGAGCCGCTCCACGACCGCCGCGCGCGGCCTTGCTCTCTCTCTCTCTCTCTCTCCCTTTCTCTCCCTCGAGTTTTGGTTTTGGGAGTGGCTCTTGAAGCCGAGCCAGCGCAGCGAGCAGCGAGCTTCTTGGTGGAGCGGCGCTGCGGCGTCCGATCCGATCCGATGGGCACAGGGGGGGGGGGGGCAGGCGCGAGAAGGGAGACGGGGGGTGAGAACGGAGGAGGAAGAGGAGGAGGGGGACGACGAGGGGGACGGCGAGGAGAAAGAGGGCGAGGGCGAGGACGAGGACAAGGAAGGTCAGGAAGAGGGATCTTCAGGGAATACGAGGAGGACAAGGATGAGGAGGAGGAGGACGAGAGGAGGAGCAGGAGGAGGAGGAATCCGTAGCCATTTTGGCTCAAGACGCTGGCTCTCGCGGGGTGGCACTTCCGCCCAGCCCCTTCCGACGGGGCGGGGGGGGCTTAAGCGGAGGCGGAGTGCCATCCGCGGCGCCCGCCAGCCTCGCGCAATGACCGCGCGGCGAGGCCCGCGACACCGCCACCAGTTGCGAGAGTATCACGGACCCAGCCTGGCCTAGGCCGCTCTGCGCAGCATCGCGAAGATTGCTTTCCGCAGCTGGGAGACGGCTTCCACCCCAGGCCTCTGACGCGAAGGCCATCATTGCAGGTGCCAAAAAAATCGGCAACCAACATCGGGACACCAAGTGCGTGGTCATCTGGTCTTTATTTCGAGGTCAAGGACGACCACCACATCAGCCATAGCCGTTCCCATCCTGTGACCTACCACGCTGGCGTCGCCTACCCAGAAAAGAACGTCATCGAAGAGGCTGCGGAGGCCGCAGACCAAGGTGCCGCTGCAAGGCGCAGGCCTCCAACCGAAGGCGAGGACGGCACCGAGGATCCACTTGCGACAGCACATGCCATTTTGGCGCAGCGACCCCCGATCGCTGCCGAGTCGCCCTGCGCGGGGGGGCGCAACTGCTGTGACGCTGGGACGGCCAGAGAGCGAGGGCTCCGACGAGGATCTCGGGAACCTCGGGGTGCGCCGTCGAAGGCCGATGCGCGGTCCGAGTCCGATTCGGAGGCGCGTGCCGGCCAGGCGGATGAGCTGCCGGGCTCAGAGCCAGACGCGTGGGACGACCCGCTCCCCTGCCCCACGGTCGAGGCGCCGAGGGGGGCCAGGGCCGCCGCTGACCGCCCCCCCACAGATCCACGAGCCATCACAGGGGACAGCGCAGACAGTGCTCTGAGCACCTGGGCCATCCAGGCCACCTTCAGCCCGTGTGGCATCAGCACTTCCATGGAGGTCCTGAGCGGGCACGCCACGGTCCGCTACGCCACCCCAGCGGCAGCCCGCAAGGCTACTGACCTGGGGCCGGGTCTACCGCGCCCACTGCGGCGGCCCAGAGGAACAAGAAACCGCCTGAGAGCGCAGCCCCCCGCCAGCCTTCCCCTCGCTCCCGGCCTGCCCACTCTGCATGCCGCCCCTGCCCACTTTTCTCGCTACCTCCCCCCCCCTTCCCCTGCTCTTCTCGGACGGGGGGCGGGATGGGCGTTTCATGGGGTGGGGGAGAGGGCATCGTCCGCCTGCCGGCGCCTGCCCGTGCCTGTCCGTCGCACGCCCGTGTTCCGAGCGCAGCTTCTCTGGGATCACCACAGCGTGCTTCGCCAGTGTGACCACCACTGCCTGCCGCCGCAATTGCCGACCCCTCCCCCCCTCCTCTTCCCCCTGCTCATCCCCCCTTTCCATCAGACAATTCCGCTTCGTCACGTGGAGGCGCCGGTGGGAGCATCGTCACCTGCACCTCCGGTCAATCCACAGACCGACGGCCCCGCTCTCCGCGGCCGCCAGCAAGAAGCGGAGCTGCTGGCATCTCCCGATCTCTGGGCCCGCTTGTAGCCTGATTGCTAGGCTCACCACTGCCCAGCCCAGCCGTTCTGTCCAGCTCGAGGTCGCGTGCCGACTCGAAGCGCCCAGTGCGCGAGCAGAGCGAAGATAGCTGAGCCTCGCTCTGCGGCCAGGGCCCCGTCTTTTCTAAGGGAGAGGGTTGGACGAGGAGGAGTAGGAAGAGGAGGAGGGGGAGGAGGAGAATGCTGGGAGAATGCGGGAGCCCCAGAGCAAAAAGTGCCACCCAGCGCCCTGGACACCGGCGCAGACCTCGCACAGGTCATGGAGGCCCCGCGGCGCTCGGCCTTGGGCATCGGGGGCAGGCGGGCAGGAAGGAGGGGGCGCGTGCTGCCGCGACAGGCGAGCAGGCCGACCCCTTTGGGAGCAACGATGCGGTCGGGAATTTTCGCTTAGCGTGTCGCGCCGCCGGTTCTGGCCCACCACGCTTCGGCGCGACACGCTAATCATTTCCCGATGCTCGAGCATCAACTTCCCGAGACTTGCCCGGCCTCACCCCGCGGAGCGGAGCGACACGTTATCCGCTTGCAGGGCATAGCGTGTCGCTGGGGCCGCCGCGGTGATACGCTATGCAAAAGTTTTTGACCGTAGGCACAGGGCGGGATGCATGGACCCCCACCCACTCGTCACCGACAGGGGCCTGATAGCCCAAGATGCCTAGGAACGTGCATTTTCGCTATCGGGGGCTCTATCGGAGATGCGTCACTGATTCAAGCGCGATGTTTCCTCCCGTGAGCCTGTTCCCCCCCTAACGTTGCCTACTGACCCCTGCGGGAGTCTAAAAACATGCAGGTTCGGAGTCCCGGAAGTTTATGCTTATGCGGATGTTCTTAACCGAGCGTTCGGGAAATTGATAATTCCCAACCAGCCTGTGGTGTCGGATCCTCGTTTTCTAGATTAAAGTAATTATGGATAACACTAACAATAGCAATGATGATAAATTCCCCGTGTCTCATCCTCCTCCACCTTTTCCTCCATTCTTCTTGCTTATTGACTTAGAGATAATGTCTCCCTGTCGCACCCCGAGGCCAGCTTTTACAGCGGGCTGGGCGTTTCGCCTGAGACTTCCTCACCACTTATGACACTAAAGCTTAAACAGTGATAACAGATTCACAACGGGAGGGCGGGTCGTTTTCAAAACATGGCTCTCGCTTCAGCGCCGCGCACATTCGTTGTAAAAAGTTCAAAGAGCTTCACGGATTGAGGACAACCCGTTTTCAAGATGTGGTTCTCGCTTTATCGCCGCGCGCATTCATTTTCAAAAACTATTATATGTGTGTCACGGATTGAGGGCGGCTTCTTGGCAAAATGTGGTTCTCGCCTTAGCGCCGCGCACATTCGATTATCATGTTTGCAAGAGTTTCACGGGTTCCCATGGTCAACGTACCAGACATAGTGTTTTGGAGAGATTCAGGGTTCTGCGGGTGCAACAGTTACGTTGATTCGCAGTTCTGGCATCCCAAGAACGGCATTCTGGCACGATACAGGATCGTCCAGACGCAACATTCAAGTTGATCCGTGGTGTTGGAATCCCGAGAACAATGTTGTGGCCTGCTTCAGGTTCTTCAATCGGTTGTCTTCCAACGAGGCAGTGCCCTCAATGGGAATGAATTGTTGTAGGGGCCTATGAAGTGGGAGCTTGGAGGGAGGGTGTAGTCCAACATCGTTGATGGCTCTTGGGTTTACACTGGTACTCCTCCTCCTCCACCTCCTCCTCCTCCTACTCCCCCAACTCCTCCTCCTCCTCCTCCTCCTCGCCCCTCTCCCCTCCCAGCCCTGCCTCGGCCGCCCGCATGTGCCTCTGATCCAGCACACCCACCTAACACGCTTTTCGCTGCCCCATGGAGAGCAGCTCCACCGAAGCCCCCGGGAGGGGGGGGAGCGCATGCGGTTCTTACACATGGGGCATTCCAAAAAGGGCCTTGCCTTCGAGGATAGAAAGAGATGTCATCTCCTCCTCGGCGGAAGGCGGCGGAAGGTCGGCGAAAGCAAAACGAGGCCGCCTCCGCCGGCGCCACCGCAGCCCGCAGGGGGGGGGGGGGGCACGCCCTTCACACGTCTGGCGGCCCCACAGGGAGCTCCACAGCTCCACCGACGTCATCAGGGGGGGCGGTCACATGCGGTTCTTATCCATGTTGGCACACCCGTCACACGCTTTGTGGCCCCATAGGGAGCTCCACCGAAGCCCACAGGAGGGGAGATTTTGCATGTGTTTCGTATCATGTTGACAGACCCCTCACACGTTTCGTGGCCCCACACCCTCACACGTTGCGTGGCCCCATAGGGAGCTTCACCTAAGCCAACAGGGGGGGGGGTCGCATGCGGTGCTTACTCATGTCGGCACACCCGTCACATGCTTCGTGGCTCCATCGGGAGCTCCACCGAACCCCCCAGGTGGGCGGATTCGCATGTGGCTCTCACCAATTTCGGCAAACCCATCACACGCTTCGTGGCTACAGGGAGCTCCACCTCAGGCCCTAGCGTGTGCGTCCACATGCGGCTACCCGCCCATTCCAGCACACCCCTCATGCGCCCCATTCCTTTTGCTGGAGCCCATCCTTCTTCTCGCCTGCCTCGCGAGATTCGCAGCTGCGTATGGTTGGGCCCCTCGCCAGGATAAGTTGTTACAGACAAGCTGTTTAGAGAAGAAACGCACTGGCATTGTAAAAGATGTAAACAGTAGTCTTCACAGGGGACGCTCTTGAGGCCGACAAGCATAGCACGTGTTTCCCCAATGTTGCTTGCCTAAGGGGTTCTCATTTGGTTAAAGGTTGGTGCCTCGGGGGGTCACTTTGCCCTTTGCGCGGAGGTTTCTCGGGTTCCTCAGGTTCCCCGCCCCCAGTGCCTCGGGGGGGTATTTTGCCCGTTGCACGAAGGTTCCTCGGGTTCTTCGGGTTCCTATGCCAAGCAATGCCATGCACTGCGCCCATGCAATAGGAAGCTTTCCCCTAGTTGGGGTCACGCCAGGGTCATGGGGACCGAAGCGGCGTGCGCCACGTGAAGATATGAATTGGGGAGATGAAGAGTGTGCGCCGCATGCCTATTGGGAAGGCCTTACGGCCAGTGCCGCCGACCCGGTGTGCGGGAGCTCTCCCAGGACCCCTCGCTGGGATCCCCCCTGGGACCCCCCCGCGCGACCGCCCCGCAGGACCTTCTGGCGACCCTCTTCTGGACGGCACTTTGACCCGGGACCACCCACCCACCCACCTACCCCTGGAACCCCCCCAGCGGGGAAGGGATCGAAGGGAAGAGGGTTCGTTCCATTCGACTGAACTGCGACTTTCCTCCACTTCCTTGTGGCTGGCGGTTGGAGAGGAGGGCCCAGGGAAGTGGGGGGGCGGCGATGGCGGTGGCCGAAAGCCCTCGCCGCATAGTGCGATTCGATTGGCATGGTGAAAGGACGTGCACCATAGGTCGGTCCAAGTCGCGAAGTGGCGTCAGGGGTTGCAGGCTCGCGCTCAGCGTTCAGCGTGACAAAGGATCAGAGCTTGAGGGTGAATGGCTGTTGGACGAGGGAGCCCGCGTGGGAGTTCATCCTCGCGTGGGCTGGACTGATGCACGGGGCGGGGGCCTTCGAAGCATATGCGGCGCCCCCAGGCGCCAGCGTACCGTCAAAAGGAGGATGCGGGTTGGCTCAGTGACCAGAAGTGAGCGCCCAGGCAGATTTTCATAAGCGCCTTTGAGCGGGGTGTCGACGTCACCTCGGCAGCGCGCACCCTGCTGGTGCCCCCGGTTCGGCCGGCACAGAAGTCTGACGACGACAAGATGTTGCAGTTGGTGTTGAAGAAGTCGGTGGTGCAGGCCAGCCAGCCGGCGGCGCGGAAGTTTCCTTGTCTTCCGCTTCTTTCCCGTGTCCCAATATGTTCTCGCCCTCCTGTTTCAATTTCTCAGCATGGTCAGCATCACGACCATAATCATCTTCACATCATCAATACCACCTTCGTTCCTCCTCACTCCCACTTCCTTCTTCCTCCCTCGCTCCTTCACCCCCTCCCGCCCGCCTTCCTCGCCTCCCTCCCCTCTTTCCCCCCCCCCCGCCTCTCCTCGTACCCTTAACATTCAGGAGCAAAGATTTTAAATGATGACATTGATGCAGCCGACACAGCTGCGAAGCACGATGCCTCGTTGCATGTTCAGGCCAGCCACGGTGAATGCAAGCAAGTTGCCAGGAATGTGCAGTAAAGCCAAACCTTTTGCAGAAGCGTTGTTGCTGTTGGTGGTGTTGTTGTTGCTGCTGCTGTTGTTGTTGTTGGTGTTGGTTTTGTTGGTGTTGGTGTTGTTGTTGTGTTTGTTGGTAGTATTGTTGTTGATGATGGTCTTGATGTTGTTGTTGTTGGTGTTGTTGTTGGTGCTGTTGTTGTTGTTGTTGTTGGTGTTGTTGTTGCTGCTGTTGGTGTTGTTGTTGTCTTTCCTAGTTGGCCGAAGCGACCTGAGTGAAGCCACACGCGACACCCCCACTCCTCCTCCTCCTCCTCCTCCTCCCTCCTCCTCCTCCTCCTCCTCCTCCTCCTCCTCCTCCTCCTCCTCCTCCTCCCCCTGCCCCTCCTCCTCTCATCCTCCTCCTCCCTCCTCCCTCTCCTCCTCTCTCCTCCTCCTCCTCCTCTCTTGCTCCTCCTCCTCCTCCCTCCTCCTCCTCCTCTCTCCCTCCTCCTCTCCTCCTCCTTCTCCTCTCCTCCTCCTCCTCCTCCTCCTCTCCTCCTCCTCCCCTCCTCTTCCTCCTCTTCCTCCTCCTCCTCCTCCTCCTTTTTCTCCTCCTCCTCCTCTTCCTCCTCCGCTCACTCCTCCTCCCCCTCCCCCTCCTCCTCCTCCTCCTCCTCCTCCTCCTCCTCCTCCTCCTCCTCCTCTTCCTCCTCCTCCTCCTCCTCCTCCTCCTCCTCCTCCTCCTCCTCCTCCTCCTCCTCCTCCTCCTCCTCCCTCTCCTCCCTCTCCTCCTCCTCCTCCTCATCCTCATCCTCCTCCTCCTCCTCTTCCTCCTCCTGCTCCTCTGCTCCTCCTCTCCTCCTCCTCCTCCTCCTCCTCCTCCTCCTCCTCCTCCTCCCCCTCCTCCTCCTCCTCCTCCTCCTCCCCCTCTCCTCCTCCTTTGCTCCTCCTCCTCCTCCTCCTCACCCTCCTTCGTTTTCTTCCTCCTCCTCCTCCCACTCCTCTTCCTCCTCCTCCTCCTCCTCCTTCTCTCTCCTCCTCCTCCTCCTCACCCTCCTTCTTTTCTTCCTCTCTCCTCCTCTCCTCCTCCTCCTCCTCCTCCTCCTCCCCGCCACCTCCTCCTCCTCCTCCTCCTCCTCCTCCTCCTTCTCCTCCTCCTTTCTCCTCTCCGTCCTTCTCTTCCTCCTCCTCCTCCTCCTCATCCTTCTCCTCCTTCTCCTCCTCTCCCTTCTCTTCCGTTTCCTCCTCTTCCTTCTCTTCATGATATCGACCATCAACGGGAGTGGTACAGATGTGTTTCGAAATTCAAGCGTTGCTTGCGATTCTGAGTTCTGTACAGTGCCCTCGGCCCAAGGGCTGTCCCAGGGGCCCGCGACAGCGCCGACAGATACGCAGGTGGCAGCGCCCAGGGAGGGAGGCCACAATCCTGATCCGGGTAATGCCGCACAGGAGTCCGCGGAAGTGCCGGCAGTCGCGCTCACCGCCCCTCCCGCTCCGCGGGGAGCACGCGCCAGGCGAGCCAGGAGGTGGCGAAGCTTCAGAGGTGCTCCGCTGCAGCCCGCCCGTCCCGCCGCGGGACGGCTGCGGCCCCCACCGGGCTCTCGCGCGCGTCTCTGCCAGCACCAGCCGCCGTTGGGCGAGGGGGCCTGGGGCCAGGGAGGAGGAGGAGGACGAGGACGACGAGCAGGAGGACGAGGAGGCGGAGGAGGAGGAGGAAGAGAAGCACCATACCAACTCTTGCAGTACACATCCTCGCCTCTTGGTCATCCTTCTGCTGCTCCTCCTGCTCCTTGTCCTCCTCCTCCTCCTGCTCCTCCTCCTCCTCCTCCCCCTCTCTGCCCTCCTGCTCCTCCTCCTCCTCATCATCCTCCTCCTCCTCCTCCTCCGCCTCCTCTTCCTGCTCCCGTCCCTAACCATGTTGGATGCAGATGTTTGCGCGATCGGGTTTCCGCGCCCTCGTGCCCGACTGGGATTGCTCAGTTTTCCAAGCAAGAGCTAGGGCAGTTCTGCCCGACATTTGCTTTTCACGCACGATCCTCGCAGGAGCTGCCCAGCGCTGCGAGCCCGCTTGCCCTCTCCAGCCGACGGGATGGCGCCGCCACCTGCGTCCTAGAAGCAAGCGTAGCTGTGTCGGTTCTGTACTCACAGTGGCTCTGGTGATCTTTCGGCCAATCCTGGGTACAAGATGTATTGCGGCGGGCGAGACAAGGCTGGCTGCGAAGGAATGCACAAAGGTGCTTACTTCCTGCACAATGTCGAGCCCAAGGTGCCGTCCATCCGCAAGCCGCTTCTTGGTGCTGGTGGAGGCACAGACAACGCCAGCAACTCTCGCACGGCGAAGCTGCTGATTCAGTTGCTGGCAGATGTCGCTGAGCTGGGGCGCCAGACGGCCCAGACGCCCCCTGCAGGATCGCGTCCCAACGCCGTCGTGGCCTCGGACGGGCCCCCCAGCGAGCGCAGCATGCGGCCCTCATAGCGCAGGTGGCTGCTCAGGAGAGCATCCACGCTGCCTGCGTCCGGGTCATGGGCATGGAAAAAAGGGCGGCTGATGCCCTGCAGGCAAAGGCCGATTTAGTGGTGAAGTGGCAGGCGAAGCACCGCTTTGCTCGCACATTCGCCAGCTATCCACCGAGCTGCAGACTGAGAATGGAAAGCTGCAGAGTTTGGAGAAGCTTGCAACTTCAAAGCAGGAGGAGCTCGTGGTGCTGCAGAAGGAGGCCCGGCGAGCCTCCCACAGGCGAACCTAAGTTACGAGTTATCGCGAAGAAGGCCTACGCGGCAACGTCGTCGTGGAACCCATGCCTCGATGTTCCACTAACTCGGGAAAGGGGGACCCCTCAAATCCTGTCTCGATGTAGCGTGGGTTCGGGCGATGTTGACTCATCTTCTCATGGCGTCTCCTCCTCCTCCTGCCCTCACCCCCCTTCAGGTTCAGTGCCTCGCTGTGGCTGTTGTGTTCCAGCGGCGTTGGGGAGGAGAAGAAACGGAAAAAGGAGTGGAGGAGGAGGGGAGGGGGAGGAGGAGGAGGAGGAGGAGGAGGAGGAGGAGGAGGAGGAGGAGGAGGAGGAGGAGGAGTAGGAGGAGGAGAGGAGGAGGAGGAGGTGGAGGAGGAGGAGGAGGAGGAGGATGTCTTCGACGTTGTTGTTTCTTGTGGAGCCGTCGTAGGCCTCGTGGGATCCTCAGAGCCGCAGCAGCAGCAGCAGAAAGGTGAGGAGGAAGGGCCAGAGGGGCCAGAGGGCGAGAAGGAGCAGGCTCTGTCAGGAGCACTGCAGCCTTGCACAGTCAAGACGCTGAATTGAGGAACAGATCGGGTTCGGAAGGGATTCCCCCTGCTCCGAGGGCCCTGTCACGGCTGTTCTTCCAGCGCCCTCGTGCGACCTGGCGCTTCTTGGGCAAAGAATTGCTTCGGTCCCTATTCGGCGTGCCCTAAGGTTGTGGCTTGTATGAATCGTGCAGTGCCTTCGTCTTTCGCCCAAAGTGTTGGGACGGTGTCGTGGTCGTGTCTTCGTCTGACACTGCCGCGCTGCACTGTGCCTGTCGCTTTCGTCCGTGGTTGCTGCCGTGTGCGCGGCTCTAGCTGCACTGGTCATAGGAAGTAGCGCACGCACGCTTCGAGGCACGAGGAGAAGGTGGACGCGTTGGCAGAGGGAGAGCAGGATGGGAAGATTGCGAAGGACGTGAGGGACGAAGAGCGAGCAGGCGGAGGAGGAGGAGGAGGAGCGAGCAGGCGGAGAAGGAGGAGGAGGAGGAGGAGGACGAGGAGGAGGAGGAGGAGGAGGAGGAGGAGAAGAGAGGGGCGGGAGGGAGAGGTTGTGAGCTCCGCACCCCGTTCTCCTGAGGCTCCCAGCGCCCTCAAAGAAGAAGAGCCAAACACCAACCACGAATCCAATCGAGGACAGAGCCGGAGAAAAGGCAGGATCGAGAGGGGTGGTGTGGGGGGGGGCTCTCAAGGAGCCGCAGACATGCGTCAGGGCGCGTGGATGAGCGACGGGTCCAGTTTCCGCGCAGAAGCGGCGCGCCCCGTCGCCGAATCGGGCGGCATTGACCTCGTGTGCCTGAAGGTCATTTGCCCCGACCTGTGCGTGGGTGTGGCGCCCACGCGCTAGATCCACGGATCCGCAATTCATGTTGCCCGACTGGGGATCTGGAGCTGGCTCGGGGGCCGTCGGACCTGTTCCATCCGCTGCGCCTCGCCAGTCGCCGTTGCCCGTGCCGTTGCCGTTGCCGTCGTCGTCGTCGTCGTCGTCGTCGTCGTCATCGTCGTCGTCGGCGTCGTCGTCATCGTCGTCATCGTCGTCGTCGTCGTCGTCGACTCCTTCGTCGTATCCTTCCTCCTCGTCGTCGTTTCCACAGCGCTGCTGCCGTTCAAGACGGCGTCGGCAGGCGCTGGTCGTGGCCACAGCACGGGCAGCCCAGATTCTCCGTTGCGGCCCGAGGTCGAGGAGAAGGGCAAGGATGAGGAGGTACTCAGACGCATTATCTGCACCCTCTCCCCGTCCGACTGTCTCTTCATCCCGTTGTACGGTTTACTTTGTGGGTATTGTTCTGGGGGACATTGGGATCCAGTCGACACTCCGATGGGGCCTCAAAACGCTGCTTCGGAGACTGTCCCGCATTGCCTGTCGCTCTCAACACCAAGAGCGAAACGACAACGAAACACGTTGTTTTCGTGGACGCCGTGTTTATTTCCGATCTCACCCTTACGCTCGGAGCGGCTGCTGCGATTGGGCACTGGCCTCCTGCGCCAGCTGCCGCTTCATTGGTTTCCCTGGCGCTCCACTTGGAACAGCGTTTGGACCAATCAGATGACTCGGCCTGGGGCCGAGGGATCCGAAGGGGGGGTGTCTGGGAAAGCCTGGATTACAAGAATTGTTGTGCGCAGCTGATTTCGGCCCGCCGCCCAGCACTATCCTCGATGCCTGGTCGCGCCAGGTGCCTCGAGGCGCTTGGAAACCCAGCTGCATGCAGCCAGTTCGCCAGCTTCCCTTGTGTTGGCCTTTCTTTCGCTGCCCCCCGAGGCTCGTAATCGGCACTGCGTCTGACAAAGTTGTACACTATCCACGGCGTCTTGGATGCTTGGGGGAGGGATGCAAAAAAGCGGGGACTCAGTGGTTATGGAGAAAACAGGTCTCGCCAGAGGCCAACATGTGTCCATCATAGCAATTGCGTCCCGGGCTTCTAAGGAAGGGAGTCCGACCATCCGAGACGCAGCGGATACGAATCAAATGTTGCCCGCAACTTGACACGATTGAGCGTGCATCAGCTGCTCGGCTTTCGAGGGGCTCGGCTGCAGGGGCGTGAGGTGATGCTTCCGCTCGTTGTCTCGGCAGCGCGACCAGATCCTTTCTCGACGGTTCCCCCCCTGACGCTCCGCCAGCACGCGATTGCAGAACCAAGATCATGAGACAAGGACCGCTCCAGGCTCAGGAGGGGCCCCGGTTTCCGGACCGCTCCTGAGACCTAGGTCGGCGGACCTGCTTGTGGCCGAGGCTCGCCGCGGCCAGAAGAGCCCTTGCGTTCTTTGAGCCAGCGCTTCTGCATGGCAGCACGGCGACTGCCCGAGAAGCTGGGCCACCCGCCACCCGCAGGAGCGCGAAGAGAGCCGCGATCCGCGGTCTGGGCCCGAGAGTTGTCCTGCCCCAGGGGGCGGCGCGAGAGCGCGAAGATGACCGCGGTTCGCGCTGCATGCGGCACGGCAGAGTTGGGTGGCCTATAGGGGACTCGTGGTTCCCTCTCCGCCGCGGGCTTGCAGCTCCGCGTCCCCGTACTGGCTCAGATTGGGTTCTGCATGCTCTGTCTGGTCTTCCTCGGCGTTCTCCCTGTACTCCCTGCTGGCCCGCGCTGCCGGCCCGCGCTGCCCTGACTGTCGGCACCGAGGTGTAGCGCGTCGTGGACGAAAGCGGCGGAGAAGCGCGTGGAGGGGAGGGGAGGTGCTTGGGACAGCGCAGCAGGGAGAACCAACGACTGGTCCAGGTTTCCAGCGATGGGCGGTTCGAGTTTTCACATGGGAGGCGCGGAGCCGCAGCAAGGGGTCAGGAGGAGCAGGAGGAGGAACATGAGGAGCAGGAAGAGGAGGACAGCGACGACGACAAGAAGCTCCCTCTTGGACTCGAGGAGTGGCCCAGAGATCGCTCGCGAGGACCTTCCAGTGCCTGGTCTCCGTGGCGCGGCATCACTCAGACCGCAGATCGCAGTCGCATGTGGACGACGACGACGACGACGACGACGACGACGACGACGACGACGACCGATTCTAGCTGGGAGGTCTGTAGCCATTTTGCCATCCCCACGCCCACCCACCGCCACATTATGACACGTATTAAGTATACCATCTGCTTCACGTCCCAGGCGCCACTTTACGACCAAACGGCTTTCGACAGTTTCGTGGAATGACCGTTACCGTTGGCGCTTGGTACCGGCGCCAGGAGCTATTCTGGCACATATTTGCCGTTGCAGAACCATGCGCGCACGTTTGTCGAACAAATATGCACCTAGAAGCGGGACTTCGCCGGTACCCCTCAATCAGGAACCCCCTTTTTGACAGAGAGAGAAAGAGAGAGTGAGATTGCAGGTCGCCGTTCCTTGAAGAAAAGTCTTCGCCGATTCGCGCGGGCCCCCGCACCTCCCAAGCCCTAACCCACCCCCCCTGGAACAGGCATGCGCTAGTTCTGGCGACTGCTTCAGTCTCCCCCTCAATGGGAGAAGAGGAGAGGGGGAAGGAGGGAGGGGAAGCGTAGAGCGGGGGAGGGGAGGGGAGGGGAGGGGCAGGCAGCAGGCAGGCGGTGCATGGAAGAGGAGGAGGAGGAGGTCGGACCACTGCGTGCCACTCGTGCGACCTGGCTCTTGGCGGGTCGTGTCCTGGACTGGGCGGGGCCGACAGCGGGCGCCCACACGGCTGCCTCGAGGCTGCGTCGTGGAGGTGCACCTGCAGTTTGGGCAGGCGCCTCCCTGGCATCTCCAGGGCCACTGAGACTGACAAACCCGGGAAAGGAGGCGGAGGGGCAGCTACCCTTTACCTCCTCCCTCTCTCCTAAGTGCGTCCTGTCCGCCGTTCGGTTGTTCCTGGTCTCTCTCTCTCTCTCTCTCTTCGACTCTTTGTCGTTCTTGTTGCCCCTCCCCCTGGAGCTTCGGGTGGGGAAAGGTTTCGAGGGCCACCGCTTTTCGGAGAATCGAAGGTCCGTTGCTCGAAGGAGGAGGAGGAGGAGGAGGAGGAGGAGGAGGGGGCACCCCCTCGGAGAACGGAAAAGGGAGAACGAGGCGAGGGGCAGTTTTGCACATGCCTCGAAGTGCCAGAGTCATACGAAGAGCCGCCGGTCGTTTGATGGCTGTAGCCTATTAGCCTATTGGGCCAGCCCCTGGGGCCTCCAAGACGGCCCGAGAGGCGCCCAAGAGGGCTCCAGGACTCCAGGACGGGAGGTGCGGCCAGCTCAGGCCAGAGCAGGAGTGTGGATTACGAGCCACGCTCCCGAGGCCTCTGGGAAAGTCACGCGGCGCAGTCCAAGACCGCCAGGAAGCGCTCGGGCCGGCCCGGAAATCTGGGGCCTGAAGCCTGTTTCAGAGCGTCTGCACGGTTCAATATATGTGTATGTATGTATGTATATATATGAGAGAGAGAGGAAAAAAAAAAAAAAAAAAAAAAAAAAAAAACAAACGAGAAAGAGAGAGAGATAGATAGTTCGAAGGGACGCGGATAATCCATTTCGTGCCACGCGGCACGGTGGCGGATTTGAAAAGGGATCGGATCGGATCGGAGGTCCGCAAAAAGGGCTCTACTAGGAGCTGCCACCGCCGGAGGAAAGCAGCGAGGAGGAGGAGGAGGACGAGGAAGAGGAGGCGGAGGAGGAGCCTCCGTGGAAATGGAAACGGAGATGGAAGAGGACAGGCCTGTGGACGCCGCGGAACATGGCATGGAAGCAGCAGCTCCTGGGAGGAGGCAAGCAGAAGGCTCGGCGTGTGCGCGCGCGCCCTCCGGGGACAGGACGCGCTGTCGAAGGCGTCGCTGTACGCGGAGGAGGCCCGGCAGCGTCTTATCACGACCGAGATGCAGCTGCAGCAGTACACCTCGGACACCAAGGCTGGGGGCGCAGACGGCCTTCAGACCAGCTGCCGTGCGCGGCCGGGCGGGCTTGCTGTGTGCCGCTACGGGGGAGGGGAGGGGCGCCGGGCAGGCTCTAGGTCGGCCACGGCCCCTCTCGGTTCTGGACGCCCGAAATGGGTACGGAAAGAATGGGTACGATGCCCAACAGCAGTTCTTGTCCATTCTGAACAGGACTCGCTGTCCGCGCCGCCGCGGCCTGTGTCCATTTGAGACAGAGGGCCGCCTGCCCAACAGCGGCCGCTGTTGGTTCGGGACAACATTTGCTGTTGGGCATAGTGCCCATTCTTTCCGTACCCATTTCGGGCGTCCAAATCGGTGCCACGGCGAGCCACGCTCGGGCTCGGCCCGTGCGACCCGCGCGGCGGGCGTCGCTCGCGGCAGCCACGTGCACGAGCGGGGCGGCGAGGGGGGGGGACTGGGAGCAAACTGTCGTCCTGCTTGTGTGTCGTTCTTGTCGATCCGCGCGCCGCGTTCCCCCCTTTCCCTCGTCTTCGCCATCGCTGCCGTCGCCATCGTCGCCGCCGTTTTCGTCGTCGCCGTCGCTGCCGTTGCCGTCGTCGCCGTCGTGGCTGCGGAGGCCGTCGCCGTCGCCAGGGTCCACCGGCGTCGCCGACGCCGTCGTCGTCGACATCGTTTTCGTCGTCGCCGCCGTCTAGGTAAAAGTTTGGGTGTTCGCACATGGGCATGAAGACTTGCGCGAAATTGATCGTCGGAGTAGACTCCGCCAGGACGAATGATGTGACCGGCGTTTGCTCTTCAGGCGGAAGCGTGCCGTCCGTGTTCGGAGAAATTGGAGCGGAAGAAGTTACGGACATCGCATAGTATGATTATTAAAACGCATGGGAATATGTTATTGCATTTGTCCGTCGTTCTATCAATACATATGATACCAGGGACGTGGGGTCCATCTGCGTGTCGGAGACGTCGGTTACCGATTCAGCAGTTGGAGTCCCCGCAGAAGTAGTGCAAACATAATATCGTTGGCATGTGCAACGGTATTCTCTGTTACACGATGTGATGCTATACAATGCAATGTTATGTTTAGCCATGCTGTGTTGGTCGGTGCTTCGCTAGACATTGTCATGTTGCACCGTGTGTTGGATTGAACCACATTGTGACCCATTGTGTTTCATATGCGCTGCTCCCACGCAGCAAAGTCGTACCACATTCATGCTTGGCTGTTTGGCCAGCCAGCGCGCCCGCACGAGCTTGGGGCATTCCCATAACTCACGAGCTGCGACACATTACAGCCCTCTCCCCGCAGCATGCACTCCTAGAAAAAGCGCTGTGCAAGATCGAAACAGGGGGTCATCCTGCCAAGGTGAAGGATGCGCCAGGACTCGATCAAGCGTCGAGGCCGAGTGAGTGTCCGCTCTCGTCACGCGTGCCGAGGCCAAGAGCAAGCAGGCGCTTCTGGGCTTCGCCGCGGGGAACGACACCGCCCTTGTCAAGAGCACCTTCGCTGGCTGGCAGGGCGAGTGCCTCGCCAACAAGGAGAGCCCGGGGGGCTGGGCTGGCTCCCGAGTTGCGGTGGAGCCCGTGGAGCGGGTTCCGACGCTTGCGCGAGGGTGCGCGAAAAGCGGAAGGCGTACGACCGCGCGGGAGTGGGGACCGAGCGGCGTCGTTGCCGAGAGTTGGCCAGCCACGTTCGTGGTGCCACGGCGTCGAGCAGAGGATGTGGCCTGGAGTTGCTGGTGCTATTCGGACCGCCTGATCCCGTGAGGCCTGCCGAGCTTACCCACCATTTTCTCTCGACGACCAGCGAGAGGGCGGGAACTGAGGGGGAGAAGGCCTTCTCAGAAGGTGGCGGGGCTTCTCAGAAGCCCTTCAGCATTTGAGAAGTTTTCTGCGTCTTCGGGGGGGGGCTTCGAATACTTTTCAGAAGGCCACCGGAGTTCAGAGCCTTCTGAGAAGGCCCGCCGCCTCTCACTTCCCCCCCGGGCTCGCCGCCGATTTCTCCGCACCTGACCACCACTCGGTAGGTAGTGTTGTGCAAGATTTTCTCGGGCCTCTGTCTTTCGGGGAGGGGGCTGCAGAGACCAATGCGAGTGAGGAGCGCAAGAAGGAGAGGGGAAGGGGATGAGGCAGGGGGAACAGGGGGGATAAGGGGACAGGGGAGGGAGGAACGGGTGGGAGAGGAGGGAGGAAGAGGGTGCAAGACGGAGGGAGGGGGAGAAGGGAGGTGAGGAGGAGGAGGAGGAGGAGGAGGAACACGAAACATAGAAATATAAGAGGTGGAGGAGGAGGAGGAGGAGGAGGAGGAGAGGGAGGAGGAGGGGGAGGAGGTTGGGAGGGGGAGGTGAGGGGGACGGGCGGCAGGGAGGGAAGGGAGGGCAGGAGGGGCAGGTTTGGGCTCCCGCGAGCGGGGGCCGCCTTTGTCCTCCCACGGCGGCGGGAGAAGCAGGGGGAGCAGGAGGACGGGGAGGAGGGCGGAGGAGGAGGGAGTCAGAGCCCTTTTTTCGACCCTGGCGATAACGGGTGTGGCCGGAGGGGTGCGAGGGGTGGGGAGTCTGTTCACGTCGCGATTCGCGTTGGCGCCGTCTAGGAGTACCTAGGAATGGCTCGCTTCCACACGGCGGTGGCGCGAATTGTGTTAATGATAACAAGAATAAGATTCATAATGATGATGCTAATAACAACGGTAATAATAGTAATAATAATACGAAGATAAATACGGAATAGCAATACGAATTCAACTCATACATGTAATACTCGTATTCATTAAAAGATATTAATGCCAATAATCGTAGTCGTAGTAGTAATAGTAAGAGTACTAATAACAAAAAACGGGCGATCTGTCAGAGGATCAAGAAGCCGCGATAATGCTACTGTCCCATGATTTCAGGTGTTCCTGCTGCCCCCTCGAACTCCAGGGGCCAGGGTCGTCAGGTAATCCATGGAACGCCTGGAGCGCGTCCTGTGCCACTCGCACCCTGACCTCAGGGAGGGGCCAGCGCAGGGCTCTGAGGGTCCCCCCCGGGCTGTTCCAGCCCCGTTTCCACGGCACTGCACCCTCCAGGAAGCATGGGACACGCAGGTGTGAAGCTTGCTGGATGGTCGTTCGGATTTCGTGGAGGGCCTCTGCGGGGCCTTTGGGAGGCAGTTTTGATGCCTCTTTTGAGCCTCTTGGGGGCCTCTTGGGGGCCGGGGGCCTCTTGGGGGCGGGCCTCTGGGGGCCTCTCGGGCGCCTCTTGGAGCCTCCTGGGGGCCTCTTGGGGCCTCCTGGAAGCTTTTTCGGTTCGTGTTCCCCCTCGTGAGCCCCGTTTGAGGCCGTCTTCGGGCCCTCTTAGGCTGTCATGGGCGCCTCTTGGGCCGTCTTGGGGCGCTCTTAGGCCGTCTTGGGGCTATCGTGGAGGCCTCTTGGGCCGGTTTGGGGTGGTCTTGGGGGTCTCTTGGGCCGTCTTGGAGCGTCAGAAAGCCGAAAAGGCGAGAACGCCAAATTTTTTCAAAAAGCTCCAGGACAATAAATGATGTTTGCCTCTGCGGGACCTCTTGGGAGGCCTCTTGGGGCGTATTGGAGGCCTTGGGCCATCTTAAAGCCATCTTGGGCGTCTTCTAACGATCGTTCGGCGACTGGGGACCCTCTTGGACCGTCTTGGGGACCTGGGTCGTCATGGATGCCTTGGAGAGCCCCAGGCAGGCGCCATGTCTGCCCAGGGACCCCCGGTAATAGGTGCGATGCACACAGGTGGGTGTGACCAGGTGGATGTGGGTCCCGTAGGACTACAGAAACCCTGCCAGGCAGCCCTTAGCACTCTTCCACGCCTCGACGTGCCACAGGCACGGTGGCGGATGACGGGAAGCGCATCGGGCGTGGACCGTTTTTCTAAAGTTGTTTTTCTCTATTTATGGGGTTCGCACCGCACCCCGAATCTCGTTGGCGGATGACGGGAAGCGTCTTCGAGGTACTCGAAGCGAGCTGGACGTTCTGGCTGAATCGGCATCATATATAATAAAGTTCTTACTGCTATAGGATGGCGGGTTGCACTTGATGTTTCGTTAGCGGATGACGGGAAGGTCTTCGAGGTACTCGAATCGAGCTGGACGTTCTGGCTGAATCAGCATCATATCTAATATGGTTCTTACTCATATAGGATGTCGGATTGCATCTGGCTAATCGTTAGCGGATGACGGGAAGCGCGCTAAGATTCGAAGAGTCGCGCGATGGACGTTCTGTTGCCCAGATGGACCTTTTTTATTAATTGGGGAGGTCTAGGAGGGGGAGCGCGCGTTGCGCACTCGTTGTCGGGGACCTGGCGGATGACGGGAAGCGTCTTCGAGGAACGAGAAGCGAGCTGGACGTGTTGGCTGAATCCTCCTCATATCAGTAAGAGATCTCTTAACTATAGGGGGTGGCGCGCCGCACGGTGCGGAGGCTTAGCGGATTCCTCGGGATGGCGATTTCGCGTGAGACATCCTCACAAAAATGAGATCTTCGCGACATCGCGTTTAACAAAAACAAGCGTTTCGTTCGAGACATCTTCGAAAGGTTGATGACTGCGAAATTCTGCCGTCTGTGAAAATTTGCGTTTCGCTTGGGACATCCTCGAAAAAATGCGATGACTGAAGTTTTTAACTAACTCTTATGTTAAGAATTGCGATTTCGCTAGGGACATCCTCAGAAAACGAGCGGCAGCACGGCGGACCAGAACGAAGAGCACGGCAGAAAAGTTGCATTTCGCTAGGGACATCCTCAACCAAATGAGATGTCCTCAACCTCGTCTTGATATCGTTCTCGAAGTACCTCTAGATGACACAATGAGAGGCCAAAACGCACGTCGAGATGGCTGTCAGAACGATTGGGGGACTTCCGAAAATAGAGATTTCGCTAGGGACATTCTCAAAAAGTTAAAACATACACCAGCATCGACTTGAAAACTGTTGTTCTTACATAGTTTTGACTTTGCTTCTGAAAAGGCTTCCAGACGGCCCAAGGCAGCCTTCAAAAAATGTCGATTTCGGTAGGGACATCCTCAAACAATTGATGCGTACGACATCGCATCGTAATGATTTAAGGAGGGCATCAGGAAGCAAAAGAAGGCCACAACATGGCCCCAAGAGCGCCCTTCAGGTTGCTGAAAATAGTGATTTCGCTAGGGACATCTTCAAAACAATAACACATCGAACAACATCGTTTTGAACACTGCTGTTTGAACATCGTCTGGGGATCGCTCCTGAAAAGGCTGCTAGATGGCTTAAGTCAGTCATCTATAAATGACGATTTCGCTAGGGACATCCTGAAAAATGAATGTGTGTAACATCGGATTGTAACGGTTTTGGAAGGCACCAAGAAGGCCCCCAAAGGCCCCTAACAAGCCCAAAGTTGACCTTTAGGAGCGCCCTCGAGACGATCCACAATGGCGATTTCGCCTGAGACATCCTTACAAAAATGAAATGCTCACAACATCGATTTCATCAAGAATGAGCGTTTCGCCTGAGGCATCCCTTAAACATGGGAAGCAGCGAGTTCGACAGATGTTCGAAAACTAGCGTCTCGCCTGAGACATCCTAACAAAAATGATATCTTGGAGTGGCGGTTTCAATACCTCTCATGTTAAACATCGCGCTCTCGCTGCATACATCCACCAAAAAATCGGGCGGAGCATGGTCGGCGAAAAAAAGAGCAAGGCAAATAATGAGCAGTTCTGCCGTGCTCCTTCGCTCACGGGGTCTATTCTGCAATTCTATTTTTTTTGTTGTACCGTGCTCCTTCGCTCTACGGGCCTATTCTGCCATGCTCCTGGCCATTTTCTGTCACAATCCTTTGTGATTGGGGCTTACGATGCCGTGCTCCTGGTCGTTTTCTGCCGTGCGCCTTAGCTCTTGGGGCATATTCTGCCGTGCTCCTTCGCTTTCGGGGTTTATTCTGTCGTGCTCCTTGTGTTTTTCTTGCATACTCCTTCTCCCCTGGGGCGTATTATGTTGTAGTATTGCATCTATCTTGCCGTGCTCCTTAGCTCTCGCGGTCTATTCTGCCGTGCTCCTGGTCATGGGTCGTGTTTTGCAATGCTCCTTCTTTCCTGGCGCCTATTCTGCCGTGCACCTCAGCTCTTGGGATCTATTCTGCCGTGCTCCTGTTTTTTTTCTGCCGTGCTCCTACGCTCCTGGATCCTAATTTGCCGTGCTCCTTCGCTCTTGGGGTCTATCCAAAGCCGAGCGAGAGGACCTTCTTCTTGTCATGTTCATGCGCTCCTCTGCCGCAAGCGTCTCGCATGCCTGCCGTGCTCCTTCCTTTTTGGGGTCTATCTGCAGTTCTCTTTAGCGCTTGGGGTATACTCTGCCGCCTGGTCTTCTTCCGCCGTACTCCTTCGCTCGTCGGGCCTGTTCTGCCGTGATCCTGGTGTTTTTTTTTCTGCCGTCCTCCTTAGCTCTTGGGGTCTACTCTGCCGTGCTCCTGGTCTTTGTTTGGCCGTTCTCCTTCGCTCTTCTGGCCTCTTCTGTCGTGCTCATTAGCTCTTGGCTATTCTGCCGTGCTCCTGTTTTTTTTTCTGCCGTGTT